CCAGCGGTACCGCCGCCGCCGCCTTCTTATATTTTCCTCTATCGCCGTGTCCCGCTCCGCGCTTCTCCTCTCCGACGTACGTTAAGGGCGGAGGTGCGAATAGTGACGAGTGCTGCGCGATTATCATCGACGCGCTCGTGCCGACGACGACGACGACGACGGCGGCGACGTCGACGTCGTTACCCGCGGCCGCGCCGTCTGACGACGGTCGCGGGTAGGAGACCACGTTGTTCTCGTGCCACGCGTCTGTAAATCGCATGTAAACATTCACGCAGTGAATTCCCGGAGTGGCGAACGAGAATTCGGAAGTGGTGATAATACAGATCGTGGTGTCACGAGGGTGCCGTGCTCGTCCATCGCGTGCTATCAAATTATCGCCGTAACTTTGATTGGTGACAGAAGCGGATGTCGACTCTTGGTGAACATCTCGCAGGAGAGAGTGGATGACGGAGAGGAGTAGTGGTCAATCTAGTGCTAGATATTGTAGGGAACTTTTCATTACGTCTACAAACAGTCTACGTTCTATCTGATCTATGAACGCTTCGATGACACTCACAGGGAGGACGTAAAAGCGTGAAGAAGAATCGTGACAAATCGTGAATACTCGACTCCATCAAAGTGAGAAATAACAGCAAAAATTCAACAGATAAAAACGGAGCAAGAGAAGTAGATGAGTTCATCTACCTCAAGTGGAAGATGTTTATGAGGATGATAGTGCTAGTAGTTCAGCCTACTTAAGCGACGTATTTTATAACTCTTCTAGCTTTTTTTTACATAATATAGTGACATTGAGCCGACAATTTGCCTGATTTATCAAGTCTCCACGTGTCATAGCGCGGCGTGTCATCCACGTGAATCCCGCGCTATATTTCGGAGTCTTGCCGTGAATTCGCGACCGTCCACGTAATTCCCGTCGGTCCATCTCGAATACCTCCAGCGCAAAATGTCGCGTATACGCTTATCTTGTCAACGATAGAGAGAATCGGAGCGCCAGCGTAAGAGTGCCGACGGTATGACGAACATGCTGTAAAAGCTGTAATCTCTAAAAAAAGAAAGAATTATACGAGTATAATCTCTTTACAAACCTATGGAAGAATCCATAGACCTCATTATTGACTATATTAACAACCGCGCATTGTATTGTCTGATAGAAACCGATGCGTCACAATTTTCATGATAAGTACTCTTTTCGAAGGAAACAAGCCGCTTGATGTTTTCGGTTGGTAATCGTCTTTAAAAAAACTATCACGCAAATTCTCGGTTGACGACATTCTCCGATCTACGAGACAGGGAGGACGCTTGAATGTGTCCTTAGAAGAAGCCAACGAACAAACCGTGATCGCGCTGATTCGCGACCTCTCGCGGGTCAGGTTGATCGTGTCACCAAGTTGTAAGGAACAGTCAACACGACGTTAACCTTCTATAGTATGGACCGGGGCGGCGGGCCCGGGGGGAGCCTCGATCTCGCCGGAGGCGGCGGCGGTGGCGGCGGAGGCGGCGGCGGTGGCGGAAGCAATACGGATTTGTGTCTGCAGGACCTCGTGATCGGACCTCCGAGCAGCCTCTCGGTGCAGCATCATCAGCACGCGGCAACCGCCTCGATGGCCGGCCTGCACGGCGACCATCTTCAGGGCACGATGCACCACCATGATCTCCACGGTAATTCGCATCACGATACCTCGATGCTGCACAATTCCAGCCACCAGCTGCACCATGAGCCGCTGGAGAAACTTAAACGTGGTGAGTCGTTCACAATACTAAAGACTACCGCCATCCCGCAATCATTCATTGTGATTTTAAAGTGATCAGTAACCTAGATGCGGTTCATTTACGAATCCTGTATCATTAGCCTATTTTTATGGACAAATACACACCTGGTATCTTCACGAGATAATTTATTATTACCTATTGTTATAGATATTTATTAGGAATGTCAAGTTTCAAAAGAAATAATTATTAATTTTATTCTTTCTCTTTCAAAGAGCAATAGATCTATTTTGATACCTATGCATAAATCCTCAAAAGTAATTAATACAGTTTTCTAAAGTAGTGTAGAAATAATGCCTGCTTGTTTAAATTAGGTTTGAATAAATTATTTCTATCTAAAATGGTTTTCCATCTACTAAAATATAAACGCAATAAGTACATTACTTTTTCATTCAGCACTGCAATATATACAAGATGTCTCACGGTGAGGAGTTGAAACTAATCAGCTGTCATTTTCAAATGTATTCAGTTATTGAAAAAAATATACACTGCGTTGAAAAGAGGAAAATCTGCAGTTTTTAATGGGTATGAATAAAATGTAACAAATATGTTTGTATATAAGTTAATTTTTATTAATAAAAAATATCAAATAATAATTAAATAAACTAATGATTACTATCCAAGACTGTAAACACGATTCAAAAACAATGTAAAATTTAGTAGTAGCTATTGCAAAGGTTATCAACAATATTTGAAACATGTAAAAAGTTTTTACAAGTTTTCGTAAAAAAGAGTTTTGTATTGATTCAAATGATCGCACTTCAAAAATATTAATCATTAGGATATTTAGCGTATTTTTCATCAATAAAATAAAATACAATTATAGTTTATTAAATTTTATCTATACCCATTAAAAGTTACGTACTTTCCTCTTTTCAACGCAATTTTTATTTTTTAATAACTAAATATATTTGACAATGACAGCTGATCAGTTTCAACATATTCCCGTAGAACACTCTGTATATCTATATAAAAAAAATGTTAATTTAAGATTCTCAACGTAAAGTTTAATGTAATTGCAAATGTAATTACAATGGTCTTTCACAGTGTAAATATTGCTGCATAAAATGCATGAAATACAATGAATCAAATCGCATTCTCTAAGATCATGAAAGAATTAAGTATGATAAAATCGTAGTAAAGTGATTTCACGAATGAGTTCGGTAATTAGGTACAATCAACGTGTTAAATTCTCTTATATATTGATTCCGACAAGATATAAGGTTTACTTTTTCCATTGTCACATCACACCTTATCGCGTTATAATCGCTTGTAGCTGACTTGTCACAGCGCTTGATTTTATTGTTGACGATACTATCGATCCTCATTGATTCGCGCGATAAGTACCTTGACGTTTTTCCTGACTGCGTCGCGCGAGAGTATTATCGTACATTCTCCGTCGAAAATCTCGTATCATGGATGTGTCATTCGTAAAATAAGATTGATACGTATGACTTTGCACAAATGTAGGAAACTTTCTTTATTCGTCGTCGCTCGTGACAAAAACGCGCTACGACAAATAAACAGATTTGCGACGCGCAAACAATTGGAATTGATGAAATAATTCGATGAGAAAAATGAAACGTTTGTTCGCATGATTTAGCGCGATGAATCGCAACGTGACGCATGATCTGAAATATTCAATTACACGCTACCTCGCCGATAAACCTCGATAAGAAGGTAAAATTTAATATATTTCCTCTCTCGTCGCGCTTTTATCGAAAGATCTATAATTCAGATATGTTCACTGCAAACGCTCCCACTCTTACTCTAGAAAACATTGAAACGAAATTAATAATATTTTCGTTGCGATCAACTGCTAACCAATCATAATCTATCATGTTATCGTACTTACAAGCAAATCTCTCAAACAATGATAATCGTTTTATAAATAAATATATAACCATTTAGCAAATTAAAAAGAAGAAATCAATAAACAAATTTCACGTTATGTTATTTAGAGACTCTCTGAAACTCGACTTTTTTTTTCTTTTTAATCATAAGAGACTCTTGTCTGATGAAACGACATTGATTCTCGTCAAGTGCCAGACGAGATAAAATTTTAGTACGAATAACTTTGATAAGCGTTGTGTTATTTCTACCCATGATATGAAACAGGTAGATAAAACTTCGGGCCCATTTGATATTAGATGCGCCGAAAACTCGAGAGTACATGCCTACCTATTTTTACTGAGGCTAAACAATTTAAACATTAGTCATTATTAAATCTGCTATTTTCTATGGTCCGGTATAACTATTTTTACTTAAACATGTCGCTGAGCATGTCGCTCATTTGCTACAATAATGACACAACTCAAAAATTATCATTTTTTAGTCGTTTGTAAAAGAGCAGAAATATAAAAAAAAAAGGAAGAATGTATCGTACTTTTATGCCATCTATAATCAGATATGCTAAAATTGCAAAATTTTGAAGTAATCTGAAAAGTAGTCGGCGCGCAGTTATATATCTGAGATAATTTATTTAAATACATATACACACGCATAGATATTAATATTATACCAATATCTGACTTTGGTTCTTCTCTTACCTACTTACAGTTAATTAATTTATTCATATACGACAGTTTTTGTTTCTATAACTTATTACTAATAATGTTACAAAATTTTAATGTTTTAAATTGATTTTCTGGAAAAATGTTTTTTTGAGTTGTGTTGTTGTAGTAAACGAACGATGTTATTTCAATTATTTGAGAAGATCTTGCTCTCGTATTATTTTTTTTTTCAAAAATAACACAACTAAAAAAACTTCAGAAAAGAGAAAAAACTATTTTTCAACACAACAGAAAATTATTGATTAATCAAATAATGTCGGCAAAAAGACTATATTCTTAACATAACCAAATATCATTTTCGTCAGTTTCATTTCATATCTCTTAAAAAATCACTCTTTTTGTGCGTTGTGATGATTTTAACAATTTTTTTTAAACCACTGCTTTTTTACGTTGTGATAATTTTTTATGAAGTTAAATTTACTTTTGTAGATTGAGAGGATAATGTTTACTTAATTTATTCATGGTAATAATTCGAAAATCACTTTTTAAGTTGTGTCACTTTGGAAATAAGGGAGCAATATTATCCTTCTTTACTTTTCTGTTACAAATTTTTTAAATGCTTAATTTGCAATACAAATATTTAAAAAAATTGTCCAAATCCATTGCGTTTATACATAAGACCCATGGAAACGCTTCGTTACACCGTAAAATCTTAACCGAAGACTTCGCTGAAAATGTTTGTCGAAATGGACTAGTCGAAGACAAGTTTCATAACGCGCTACTCGTTCATTGTAATGTAGTGTCATTCGCGCGACGGGCGAATTCAGTCACACGTACGGCGATCGTCGAAGACGACGAAGACGATCCTCTTCCGTGGCAACGCCACCACCTGTTTTGTGATTCATTAACTCACCGGCTTATCGGGATAAGGTAGACTTATCCGGGGCTCGAACCCGACACTGCGGCTAAACCCGATCTTATTCCAATGGCATCCTATACCTATCCCCGTTTCGGTTCCAGTACTAGACTCGCGCCAGCGATTCCCACCATTCAGGATCGCGAGTACTCTAAGAAGAGCTTCATTTTTCTCGCGAATGTATCGAATTTTCTTTTCACTCGCTCTTCCGACAATAAATCATGCTCTCGTCTACATATGTAGATGAATTCCACGAGGATGGATAAATCGGTTTGTTTCGGCTTATGAATCCGTTCAGAGGATAAAACTTGGTTGTACGCAATTTACAATTATTATAAGGATTATTCTCAACATTGCTTATTTTCCTAAGCATTATGCATTCTCAATGATTTTTCATTTAACTGCCCTATCACTACTCGAGCTGGCTCACTTTCGCATTATTTGTCGCCGCGCTTGATCGGGTCAACAGGTAGGATATTGATAAATTCAAAGCGGCCGCGAGCGAATTAAAATTTCTATCGTGAACGCTACCCCACATATTATTGTCATTAATATCGCGACGGGATTACGCGAACTCTATTAATATCAGCACGTCGATGGAAATTAATGCCAGCGTCGACCGCGATAAAAGCAATGCCATGCTCTAATGAAAATGATGCGGAAATAGCTGGACGATCGGATCGAGATTGCGAGCGAAAATTCGGTGCAAGAAGAATCGTCGCGGAAAATCTGTTATCCCCACTCGGCCGACGAAAAGCTCAATATTTTGTCAACAGGGCGGCATACGGTCGGCTCCGATCTGCGCAGCCCCCGTTAGTCATTAACTACCCCTTTATTATCGCGCGGTCTTGCAATCGAGCTAGCAGATGCGTCGAAGTCCACCCTTAGTGCATCCCTTTCCCTTCTGGACTAATGGTGTTGACAAATTGCTCAGCTAGCTTCTATCCTCCCCGGGGAATGCACCCGCAAAAATCTCCTCACCGCAAACTTATGGGCGTTTAGACGCGAAATTGAACCGCGACTCCTGCAGATCGCGATTCCTGCATGTGGGATAAACTTTGTCGTGCAGTGATCTCGAACGAAACTTCAAATTCCCGAACGTAACAGAAGCAAAGGATGGGATATCGTTTCTTGAAACTGTTTTATCAAAACGCATTTGTGGCCCCGTATTTGTGAACTTATATTTAAAATCTCAATAATATAATAACGGCTAATCTATTACATACGTATTACAGAAGTAGAACAAGTCATCATGACACCAAACTAACGTTAAAATAGCTTAAAAATAATAACTAAAAGTTACTTTCAGTTTGAATTTTTATCGTAACTTATTCTGTTTGGGCGTAAGTATGAAATGTATAATATTGTATCTATATAGATAGCACATTTACTGTAAACTTTCATGGATAGCAAATAATGCGTTATTTGTAATACTGTTACCGTTACTTTTTTATGATAACGATTTATAATGACGTTACAATTTTTCATGATGGTAATGATAGGGTTGGAACAATCATTTTAGAAAATAACTCGATCGTTAGTTG